ATCTATCTATCTATCTATCTATCTATCTATCTATCTATCTATCTATCTATCTATCTATCTATCTATCTATCGTCCGGTTTGATGGCAAGCTGGCAATCTAGACAGATATTTTAGCAGAGGTATAATATGCACAAGGTGAAATCATCCAAATAGCACTCCAGAGGTTGCATTCTTCACTAGCTGCAAATCACAGATCCATGTATCCCAATGTCTCCACAGAATGCCCACTACCATAATCCACATTATAAAAAATGGCACCTCACCAAACCTGTAGGATTTCCAGATATTTCTGAATTCCCTATAATCCAATGTAAATTTATCCTAGTAGAATTCGGTGGCCCTGTCTCAACTGGATAAGATTAAAGACAGAGGATGGCACTTTCTTGACTTTTTCTTTTTCTTGTCTTTTCAGTAAAGTTGCCTTCATGTTTACAAACAAAAACCCTTCATGTTTTGTCTCCTCTTTTATAGCTTCTAAACCTGTGGATTGGAAACTGTGCACAGGCCCTACTCCTAGCACCACTCAGCTGTGCCACATTCCATGTCCCATAGAGTGTGAGGTATCAGCTTGGTCAGCATGGGGGCTGTGTACTTTTGAAAACTGTGAGGACCAGCAAGCCAAAAAGGGTATGTACATTTTCTAAGTGACTTCCATTATGACTAAGTTGTTTTTGACCCCTAGTGACCACATAGATAGATTTTCTCCATGACAATCTATCCCTCACCTGTTTTTTCAGGTCTCCCAACATTGTACCCATTGCCACTGTAACTGAGTCCATCCACCTTGCTGCTGGTCATTCTATTCTTTCCTTCCACCTTTCCCAGCATTAGAGTCTTTTCCAGAGAGCTAGGTCTTTGCATAATGCATCCGAAAACAGTTGTAATAGGAAGCAAATTGTCTCAAATTCTAGGGACATTTTGGTGGACTAGGAAAGATTTGACAGATGCAGACCTTCCTCCAGTCTGCCTCAGGTACATCAGATTGTTTGCACTGACCACTATTGGAGTGCTAACATTAGAGGGCAAGTCTGTGAACCTTTACACAGCAATGGAGAGAGGTATGACAGAATTGTCCTTCTTAAGGTGACATTCAAAACTTCCTTTAGTCTGTGAGATGCCTCTAAGGTATTTGAGAATCATTCTGCTGTCATTATTAGTTTTCTGCTTTTATTTGCTGCTGCTTATAGATTAATATAATCTCTATAAATCCCTTTGTATTCCTTTGGTATTTATCATTCTTAATCCTCTTTCTTTCCATTCTCTATCATTGTTATATCTCTACATTTTTCAGGTTTCTAAAATGTTCTTGCTTTACAAGTTGGCATTCTCCTGTTTCCCCTTTCCCTTGCTGTCTAGGTTTCCTCTTTCAAGGCTCTTCCTACCCAAATGTTGGTTTTTGTGCTTTTCAGGCTCAATTTTTCTTTTATCCTGCAACCTTTTTTTTATTTTTGCCTCAGAAAATTCTAACTAAGAGTTGAAAATTGAACATACAGTAGTTTTTACTAAGTGCTTATGGAGCTGCCAGAATTAGAGTTTTATACTAAAGATTCTAGATTTTTATGTCATTAGAAAGTTACCTGTTTGCCTTTTCTGGTCAGTGGCGTAATAGTAACAGGTAGAAAACAAAAGGGACCTATGATAATATATTTTTTTAAAAAATACTATTGTTTAGTTCATTAATTCTCTGATGTTGCTGAAGAAAGGAGAGGAAAAAAGGTGAGACCTTATAATTCTCAAATTTTTTGCTGTCTCATTTTGAAATACATGCTTTCTCTCTCCCTCTCTCTCTCGTTTTATGTAGGCAAAGGAAGGTGGCAATTTAGAAGTACTAATATAAACAATCAAACCTTTGTGCTGGGCTGTCTTGCTATCTGGTTCCTCCTACATTCACTGATGTAATTCTAGACAACTCTCTTAACACATATCCATTTAACTGTGCCAGCTTTCTCTTAATGCTTCTCCATTTACCCTGCCAACTCCCTTCAAGGATGATTTTTCCCTGATGAGTCAAAATGAACTTTTCCTGCTCTTTTCCTTCTTTACATCTCACCATTTGATCTTAAACTAAAGAAGTTTCATAGCAGGCTGGGGGTGAAGCCATGAGACATATTGGTTGACAGATATTGTAAGGGATATTACAGCATTAACAGTTGACACTGAATCCATAGTTTCCAAATAATGCTCACATTCAAAAAGTTTTCAGTCTGGAAGGTTAATGGAGTTTTGCTTACATAACAAACTGTTTTCATCTAGTCTCAGCAGAAGCCCTGAGTTCCATCTTTGAATCATTTGCTTCTTAAGGAGCTCTTGGCCAACCTATTCCCTCCAGATTTCTTCCATCTGGCTCACAATGCAGGCTTTCTGGGAAGCAGGATATGTTTATTAAGCATTTTTCTCTTCTCAGAAGCTGTGTTTCTTAAGCGTATCTGTGTACACACGCATACACACAAACACACACAAACACACAATAGTTAAAAGGATTTTGAGTTACCTGAGCACTGCCCAATTTTATTCATGCTTGTTTTAGGATACACAGAAAATCCCTAAACCTTGGGGTTTGGAGTATCATGGTTGCAATTAGAGTATCATGGTTGCAATTGGATTAAGCCTGGGAAGACCAAGGAACAAATCTTCACTCAACCCTGATGCTCACTGGATTATATAAAGGCATTATCTCTCAGTTTAGCCTTCTCCACAGGGCTGTTGTGAGAATAAAAGTGGAGAAGCTACAGTGATTGATTTGCTGCTTCTCCCTTGGGTAATAATAAGAAAACTCACAGGTGTCTTCTGTGATTGCTATATTATTTGTTTTAATTCCATTTGATCCCATCTTTTCACTTCATAAACTACTCAAAGCAGTTCAAAACAGAAATAATTGCAAACACATTATTTTTGTTTAAAAGAAGAATTAACTCAACAGCTTGCCCAGTGTTGAGGGACTGTGTATATAGGTCTCTGTGCGAGAAAAGTCAAGATAGCAGGCATAATTGAAGCCCCACCCCTTTTTACATATGTGCTACATCTTTGACCCCTCCCTCAGATGCCCCTGTAGCTAATACACAAGCTTTAATAAAGGTCTCCTCAGTCGGGTTCCCCCAGCAGTTTCTTTTAAACTAGATGGCATTATATCTGCTCCTACAGAATCACTGATCCACTAACCCAAGCCTCTTTGGGCTGTAATCATGAGATTGGAGGACAAGATCAAGCATACATATCCTCTCTTTGCACATTCAAAGATTTTGTCCACATTCTCAGCCCTCATAAAACACTTCTACTGATACAAATAAACACAGATGTTAACTGCACCTCCAGCCAAACCAACTTATGTTCAAAATATCCTATAAGGTCCTCAGGTATACCTCAGTTCCATATATAGCTTAGTTAATATTTGAAGACATTTTTCAGAAAGTTAGTAATTTGTCAGAGGTGAGCTTATCTAGTTTGTAATTTCAGGGATACTAACTACATGTCTTGCAATAAAACAGGAATAATCTTGTGGCTCTTTAAACTTTAATAAACATATTTATGGCATAAGTTTGTGCCACCAAAACTGGCATAATCTTTAACAACATTTTTTGTTCTTTTGGAATAAAGACTGACATGACTACCTGTCTAACTCTATTATATCATGCAATTATAAGAAATAACTTGCAATAACTATCTGTAGGATATACCTATAGAGGTTAAAATGTGAATAAAATCAGTGATTTTGTCTTATATTGAAAAGCAGATGATTGTTTCTTATTTTGGAAACTTAAGGTTTTAAATTAAGAAAACGTCGCATCAAAAATGAACCCACGGGAGGCCCTGGCAACTGTCCCCATTTGATTGAAGCTATCCCCTGTGAAGAACCTTCTTGCTATGAGTGGAAAATAGTGAGCCTGGATGAGTGTATTCCAGATAATGAGAAGGATTGTGGGCCTGGTACACAAGTGCCTCAAGTGGTCTGTATCAACAGTGATGGTAAGTTGACTTATTAGCTTACTGTGGTTTGACGTTCATTAATTTGGGAAAGTCCCAATTCATTACATTATCACCATATATATTACATGCCTTGCATACAGCAATAGATAGTTCTGTTTTTATTTGGACCTGATGGTCATCAGTTCATCATCTGAATAGAGAAACATTGTAAATGAAATTGTCCCATATGATTACTATCTAATAGAAGTATCCTCATTGCAGTTAATACTGAAGGTCTGAAATGGCAATGTGTTAAAGGAAACTAAAAACACGTACTCAGTTGTGAAGTGCATCTCTGAACCATGGATATGTTGTTCTTCTACCTTCTTAGTATTCAGTCAATAACTGTAAATTAGAAATTTACTGTAAATTAGAAATACATTGACTGTTCATGTTCTAAAAATTAACATTAACAGATTTGCCGTTTTCAAGAAATAAAAACTGGATAGAGGTTAATCTAAATCATGAACAAAGTATGGATGATCCCTGTAGTTTACCTGTGCCAGAAGTGAAGCATTTATGCTGATGTCATGGTAGCTTGAGTGGTTAGTAGGATGAGTTCCCCGAAATAGGATATGATGTGAGTTTTCCCACTCATTTATCATAAATAATGTGCTTTTTGTTTGAGGCCAATTTTCACTATGCTAAGGTGTTTATTTTGCATGGTCTCTGATGGAAGGGAACTTAGAATCATATGGAAAGAAAAAACAACACTAGTTGGTAGTTTCAAATTCTATTTAATTCTGCTGTTTTTTTTTTTTTAAGAAAAGCAAAAAGGATGTTTGTGTAAACTTTCCTTTTGTTTTATTTTTAAAAATTCAAATGCAATCAAGTATCTTTCTTCTAAAATGAGCCAGTGATACCTGTAGTTACAAAGGAACCTGGGACTAAAACAACAACAGTGCCGTCCATCCCATCTTATTATTTTTTACTGTAATAGCTACTTTGTCTTCAATACCACAGGAAGACAATATCTGAAGTGGGCTCCATGGAAATTCTTCATTTCATGCAATCCAAAAAGGGAAAGGAACGTTACTTAGTTACCTTCAACTTTTGTAATCTGCCTCAATCAGCAATCTCCAGACAATATGCAACAAAGAAAAAAGATATAAATGTGAAAGAATTATTATTAGATTTATATTCCACCTCTACTTTATACAACTCATGGTGGCATACATAATGCTCTTGCATCCTTTTTTTCCTGCAACAGCAACCCTGTGAGGTGTGTTGGGCTGAGAGAGATCGACTGGTCAAGAGTCCCCTAGCCAGCTTCCATACTGAGAGAGGATTAGAACTCACAGTCTCCTGGTTTCCAGGCCAGCACTTTAATCACTACACCAAACTGGCTGTTACGCCAATATAATCTAAACAGATATAATCTCAGTACAATCTCAACTGATAAATGTCCAAAACAATGAAATAGGATTAAAAACACAGTGGAGTGGAAGTTGTTTTATCAGCTATATGAAATTGAAGGATGGAGAGCGCTACATACGCCTTGGAAGGAAGCTATTTCCACAATATGGGGGCCACTACAGAAGAGGCTTGGCAACTTGCTCAGGACCCACAGACACCTGATATGGGGTGGGGCATTCAGCAGGCTTTTATGAGATGGTACAACAGGAAAGAAGAAAGAGAAACAAATGCAGTACATAGAATAATTGAAGCATTGTGCATGCTAGCTGGAGGTTTTTCGCATGGTAGATGATATTGGGCACGGTTGCAGTTTCAGCCAAGAGGACCATAAAAGACAATTAGGGCATGCTTGGTGGCAGCAAGATTTAGAGAGCATGGTTCCTTGCTAGCTCCAGGGAAAGAAGTGGGATCTGGCCTAGGAGGCAAGGAATGACACTGATCTCTGCTTGATGGACTTTTCCTCCTGTGACTCAGGTGATACATGACCTGAGCAATGTTCCTGCTGTATTGCCTGGTCGATAGCTAATGCACACAGCAGTTGATCCACATTGCTGAGACCCCTGGCATGGCATAACATATCTTGGGTAGACCACTACAAACCTCAGAGTTCCAAATAAAATGTTTGGACTTTCACTCTGTTACATCAGGGTACATAAAGGTCTCCTTTCTTATGGTTCTTTATCTTTAAATCAGATCAGAAAGTCATTCAACTGGAAAATTGTCCTATATAGAACAGACTCACAGAAAAGACCTTAAGTTCTATTCCCAAATCAGTTACAGCAGAATAAGAAAACAGAGAAATGACAAAAACCATGAATCAAAATTATGAGCAAACGCATGTGATATCTAATTATAGAGGTGTCTGTCAGGGGAGGGGTAAAAAAAGTCATGATTGTGGCCACAACCACACAATCAAAGCCTTACCCCATTTTTATGTGTGATGCATTGTAAATGCCCCCATCTAATTACTTTAGTTCCTTGTGGCTGTTTTTGCACATGCAACAGCCGGGTGTAAGGGCTGAGGTCATGAGCACTTCTGATAGTAATGTTGTTGGATGGTCCAACTGTCTGTAAAATAAAAGTGATTGTACAAATCACTGCCAAGCCAGGAGCCTTGTAAGTGCTTCAGGCAGGTTGAGGCAAGAGGTCACTTGGTACACATTTAACTGTTCCGCCAATGTTTTGTAATTAAATTGGGAAGAGGGAATTGAAGTTGATTAGTTATGCACACAGATCTGTTATGTAATCTTGTGCTGTGGCTCCAGATTTGGCTTAACAGTTCAGTTGGGACTCATCTGGGGAAATTAAGAATTCAGGTATAAGCTTTATTCTCATGTAACTAGTTAAGCACATGTTTTTTTTCCTTATTTTTTTTCCTTACATATTTGTAAAAGAATATAGGCAATAGATAATACAAATAAAGTACACATTTGAAAGAATATAAGAAATAGATGATACAGATACATAGGTCTTTTTTTCTAATACTCCTTGCTTGTCTATGTGATTATTGCTCTAAAAGATGATGCAGAAATCCAAAGCGTATCCACATCTTTCTTCATACAAGTGGACATTTATCAAATATATTATAAATCAATCTTTAGCGTGAAAAATGAGTGGTTGAAAGGAGAAGAAAATTTTAGGTGACTATCAAATGCACTAAATATACTAAGAACTTCCAAATACAAAATGGATATTCCTTCCGCCTTACGAGCAGCAAGGGATAATTGTTTATTAGGTTCTTATCTCAGTTAAATGACTGCCCAACATCACTTCTCTCACAACATGTCACCTTTTTTCCATAAAGGCCTGGTGATATAACAAAGAAGGAGAGGGAGAAACTTAGTTTTTCAAAAATAACTTCCAAAATAGGGTTTTTCTGAATATTTTAAATAGTGTGGAACTTGGGAAGAAACTATTTCAAAAATATCTGCATTGTTGATTGCAAAAAGGTGGGGAATTTTTTTTTTCCCTTTCCAGATAGTATTTTGATATGGTGTTGGTGGTGGCAACAGTAGTGGAGTGCAGGCCTACAGGCACAGGAAGTATCCACTTTGCATTTTTTGTGTATTTCTAATCCTGTTCCCTTGATAAGACAAAGCTACCCAACATGAACCTTTAGGACTCTCAATGCCTTCAATGCAACCCATTGAGTTTTAAAATGGTAGCCAACCTATAATTTTTAATGTAATAAAAGATAGAAATTATTAAATATTTATTGGAGAGTAATCATATTAACTGTGTAATTACAGTTAAATATAATTGAACAGAAAACACATTTAGTTTTGGCTGTGGTGCCATACTGCTGTTTTGAATACAGCCTCTTCCGCATCTTCCAAATACACTAGTAAAAAAAATCAGGTGTGACCATCTACCCAGAAAAATGTATGCACTCCTGTTTTAAAGCATCTCTTGTTTCAACTCTGTTGGCTTAGTTGTTGGGAACAGTTCCTTTACATAGATTCAGAATTCTAGTTACTTTGCCATTTAAATGGATCAGTTTCTTTCACTGCATTTTCTACTGAAATACAGCTTTTGGAAATATTTACAGTGATGGAAACCATAGATACCATCTCTTCATTCCCCTTATGGGCAAAAATAGCATTAACTATACCAATTTTTTTTAGTAATCTAACTTCTGGTCTTTCCATGCCACTGAAACTTACTGGAATTTCAATTATGAATTGATTTGGAGGATCATACATTACCTAATAAGTCAGAGTAAATTTCAGCCTTTTACTCAGATCATTAACTGAGCTACTTTACAAATGGAGGAGAGAAAGGGCTCCATTTGTAGGCATAAGACTTGTTTGTATTTTGGACTGTTCATATAAAATATGGTCATATGAATATGTAGATAAGGTCTCTATCTTTAGCATTTAAACTAATTCTGATTTTGTTCATCCTTCTAACCATTTCAGTCCTCCTTACCCAATAAGATAAAATTTGCTCATGTCATTCTATCATGTACCTCAAAAAAACCAGAACTAATAAGATTCCTGCCTTGGATATTTAACTTTGAAGAAGAATTGTTTTGAAGATTGTTCATGTGCCATGCTTTTAGTGAAGGTAGATTTATGAATGCAGTTGTTGGATATTAATTTGCATAAATACATGAAATAGTTTAGGGCATATTACCTCTGCCTGATATGCATCATCTGTTAACATAGTAATTTGGTTAATACCAAGTTAAACTATTTGTTTTTTCAGCCAAGTGAAGTGATGACTACAACTGTCAGATATCACACATTTTGAACAACATTTATAGGCATGCTAACTCTTGAAATCATATCTTGTCTTCCCATTTCCTTAATGGCAAAGCTCAAAATAAATGACATGCTCTGGAGTTTTCATCAGAAACAAATATTTTTAGTCCTTCATGTTGCTGAAAGATTGTTGAGGCAGCTGTTTTAGAACATGGTTAAGGGCATTGCCTTTCTGTATATATGTGAAAGTGAGTTAATTTCCCTTCTTTTTATCCAGCTACATCCAGTGCCTTTATGCCAACTGCAACCTTGTGAAAGCAGCTATTTCTGAGCAGGACATGTGCCAGAAGGAGATAGTTAAATAGTTAGAAAGAGCTGGAG